CACACAATACTCCAGGTGAGGTCTCACCAGAGCAAAGTGGCAGAATCCCCTCTCTGGAGCTGCTGGCAACACTCCTTTTGATGCAGCCCAGGATGCAATTGGCCTTCTGGGCTGCAAGTGCCCACTGCCTGCTCATGTCCAGCTTCTCCTCCACCAGCACCCCCAAGTCCCTTTCCTCAGGGCTGCTTTCCAATACCTCACCCCCTAGTTTGTATTGGTGGTGAGGATTGTTCTGCCCCAGGTGCAGAACCTTGCACTTGCTCTTGTTGAACCTCATGCGGTTCACCTGGGCCCACCTCTCCAGCCTGTCCAGGTCCTTTTGGATGACATCCCATCCCTCTGGTGTATCGACAACACCACACAGCTTGGTGTCGTCCGCAAACTTGCTGATGGTGCCTTTAATCCCCCTGTCTATATCATTGATAAAAATGTTAAACAGTGTTGGCCCCAGCACGGACAAAGAGGGACCCTGATAAATATGAAGCCATCGTTTTTCACAGTGATCTGCTCAACGTTCTTGCAAGCAATGACATTACTGCTCTTCTTCCTTGTGCCCCCAAACCCTGGCAACAGGTCGCTGCTGTGAATAAATGCGATCCTCCTCCAGAAGTCCTGGCTGCTGAGGACCATAGAACTCATGTCATGAATAACGTGCTGCAGCCCCAGAGGATCCTTGACAGGTGAGTTTACCTCCACTTCTTTACCTCCACTTCGCCCCAGCTCCTGAGGGTGGCACTCAAGTAAAGCAGAACAGGTTGTCACATTCAGAGGGACAGTTTTTCCCTCCTTCTCCCACCTCTAAATTAACCTGACGGAAGAAGAGACATTCCACAGTATTCTGGGAGCAGTCTGGAAATTAGGCAAATCTTATTTGGTGGAAATTGATTATGAAATGAAGTTAGTCATTCACCTCCAAAGTCTGAGACAGATTGTCCGCGGCTCCGTTTCTTTTAAACAATCTGTTGAAGCAGATGGCCATTTGCACCATAAATGAAAGATGCAAAATTTCTATCAGTACCCGAAGGCAATTTAAAAATCTCTAGAGGCAGAAGAGAGCTGTAAAACATACCTCCTTCTCATTCTACTTACTCCTCCTCTTCACACCATTGGCATCCCATTGTGAAGAAAATGGCTTTATTTTGTGGCTTTGGGGCACGTTTTATATTCATAAGGTGAAATTTTCAAGTTTGCACATAGGGAAGTCCAGCTCTTTCTGCCTTTGGGAGAAGGTGATGCTGACTGCCCCATAAAACACAGAAGGGAAGAGGCAAATCTATGTTCTTTTTCCAACCTTGCCATTGCCAGGTGACTTCTCTCAGTCTCATTTCTCATCTAGAAAGTGGAAATAGCCATAATTTGCTGCTCTGCAGATGTGTTATGATATTTGCTTGATGAACTCTTGGAAAATGCATTGCCATACTCTGATGGAAGATACTATGAAATATACTTTTATTATTATACTCTCTACAGTGGGCACTGAGATCAATGTTTGTGCCCCACACCCTGTTTTATCACCATTTTGGACATCCTAATTAACCTGATTTAAGATCCATGATTTAGTAACTCAAAAATTTATATTTTTATAATATCTTTAATGCGACTGTTGTGTTTTCTGGGTTTGTGGATGAAAGACAAGAACCATCCCCGTGGTGATGATAGCTCTGAGAATTCTTAACAGCTTATTAAAAAAAAAAAAAAAAACACCCTGAAGATTTATTTACTGTTTTGAAGGGTTGGAGATTTCTTAAAAAGAAAAGCACAATAGTTTTACCTAAAGGCATGGATTTCTTCCAATGCAGGCATAGGCTCTTTTTAAATATTTGTTTCTTGGATTGTGTGTGTGTGCCTTCATCGCTGGAAAGAAACAATTCTGTCTTCTGTCAGAGGTATTGCATACACAAACATATAAAAACACGCAGCCCAGCATTTATGGTACTGACCAAAATTGTTAATGATGCTTTGAATGTTTGCCCGTGCTCAGCTGGAAAGCACACAGCACAGTCGTTAATGAAGTCTTCCTAATGAAGCTGTGTTATGGTCTTCTACACTATAAAATGCTTATTGGAACCAAATTGGTATAGTTCATTTGCATCTATATTTTTAGATGAGATTATTTCTGGTTTAGTAATATCTGTATTAAAAATGAAACCTGTAAAGAAAGCAAAAAGTTACGTTGTTGCATACTCTGGAGCCAGAAAACATTAAGTTTTTTACGCCATTTCCTCTCTCTGTGCCTAAAGATTTTATCTTTAATTACATGGTAACACATCACTGAACAATATCATGTGTATTTTTGCAGATTATTTCTGGTTTAGTAATATCTGTATTGAAAATAAAACCCGAAAAGAAAGCAAAAAGTTACATTGTTGCATACTCTGGAGTCAGAAAACATTAAGTTTTTTATGCCATTTCCTCTCTCTATGTGCCTAAAGATTCTATCTTTAATTACATGATAACACACCACTGAACAATATCATGTGTATTTTTGTTCTACTATAGATGCTTGTGACATATAAAAAGGTATCTCAACCATAGTTATAACTGCGACATGGGAAGCAGAAATTGAGTAACAGAGGGCTCTTCAGTCTATTGGGCAAGTACACGATGAGACTTGGTATCTGGCCATTGAGGATAAGTTCATTCAGAGAAGAAATAGAGCATGATTATTTTTAACAATGAATGTAATTAACCATTGGAACAATTTACCAAGGGTACCGAGAATTCTTCGCAACTGGAACGTTTTTAATTAAAAATACGCTCTAACGGAACCTCAGGTATCAGGCTTGAAACAAGGACTAACTCGGGGAAATCCTGGTGCCTGTGTGATGAGGGGAGTCTGAGCAGATGATCACAGGAGTCCCTTCTGGCCTTGAAATCTATTAATCTTGCACAGCGGTGTATTCCTGTACTCGCCAAAGACAAAGAAATTTGAAAGATGCCCATTAAATGAGCCAAGAAGCAGAAAACGCAAAACTTTTAGTCTGTCTTTTGAGAACCAGTAAGTGGTGATGCAATGAAAATAGTTTTATGGAAGTGTTCTCCATGTGTCATAGAATCATAGAATCATAGAATGGTCCAGGCCGGAAGGGACCTCCAAAGGTCATCTAGTCCGACCTCCCCGCAGTCAGCAGGGACACCCCCAACTAGACCAGGTTGCCCAGGGCCTCGTCGAGCCTCTCCTTGAATATCTCCAGGGAAGGGGCCTCAACCACCTCCCTGGGCAACCTGTTCCAGTGCTCCACCACCCTCACAGTGAAGAACCCTCTCCTCATCTCCAGTCTAAATCTGTTCCCCTCCAGCTTGAAGCCATTGCCCCTCGTCCTGTCACTGCAGGCCTTTCTAAACAGTCTCTCCCCAGCCTTCCTGTAGGCTCCCTTCAGGTACTGGAAGGCTGCTCTTAGGTCTCCCTGGAGCCTCCTCTTCTCCAGACTGAACAACCCCAGCTCCCTCAGCCTGTCCTCGTAGCAGAGGTGCTCCATCCCCCTGATCGTCCTTGTGGCCCTCCTCTGGACCCTCTCCATCAGGTCCATGTCCTTCTTATACTGAGGGCTCCAGACCTGCACACAATACTCCAGGTGAGGTCTCACCAGAGCAGAGTAAAGTGGCAGAATCACCTCTCTTCTGTACTTCTGGTGAAATAATAAATTGAAAAAAATTAAGGATATGAGGAATTTGAGCAGCTGGAATTTATTTAAGGGTATTTGAATTCCGAGTGTAATCATGTGAAGTAATGATATATTGTATCATTGCTGGTTATAGCACTTCCTTGTAAAAGAAAAGATAACAGAGGAATTCTACAATTTCCAAGCATGTAGCAGGCTCTGTGCATGGAGAAAGGAATAGATTAAAACTGTGTTGAAGATAAGGGTTTTGTCTTCACAGACCTGCCTCGACATCATTATTCATGAAGGGCATGGCCTTAAGCAAGAAGAAGAACCTTTCTGCGTATGTCATGATAAATTTTGAATCTCTACTCACTAAAGGTGTTTCCTGGAATTCCCACCTTTGAAATGGTTTATTTATAATAGTGCAATTGTAGTTTCCCCAACTGTCACTGGGATCACGTTGACTTAAACCGGTCTTTTCCTGACCACAAGTGTTAGAAAAAGGGAAGGACAATCTGAAGAGCTCAAATAATCAAGAGAGGAGGAAGATATTTCTTGAATTGAACAGAATGTCACAACCTAACAAATTCAGATAAGGATTTAAAAAATGTAGTTTTACCTTCCCCAGTATTTTAAATGTATTGTGTTAATAAGCTTATTGTTCTCATGTTGTCTAATGTTTTGTAAATATCACCAGTTGGCACAGTAAGGAAAAAATCCTTAAATCTCCCAAGAGTCTTGCTTTAAAATTGTCTAGAGGATGGAACACTGAACCAGGGTCTGGGCTGATTTTGCAATTTAGTAGCAGCATATACATACATATTCGAGCTGGTTGCTTAATTTATTAGGTGTATCTGTTATTTCTGCTATTCTGTGAGGATAGTACTCCATGGGAGAATTCAGAGACTGAATTGCATTGTTATCTTAGCACTTCTGAAGCATCAAACCCCCTTATACACATATATTCTGATAGGAAATAGGGCTGATTTGCTGAACCTAAAATAGGATTAAAGCCATTACTTTGACATCTTTTTCCTGCGTGGTTGTGTTGGACGATTATCATTACTTCTTATACAGTTAATTACTTGTAAGAGAAAAGGTAAAATAACTATACTGTGTTTTCAGGAATTTGTGTTCACCTTTAAATCACATTAAATGAAAGCTTAACACACATTGGTGGTTTTATTCCACTTTAAAATTTAAATTGAATTAAAATTATATATTAGTTGAAACTATTTATTAGTTAAAAATAAGAGGGTTTGAAATTATGTCAGCTATTTCTGAGATACTATCAAGTGGCATAATCTGAAGATTTAGCTGAGATTTAAAAATGAGGCTCCAAAGTTGCATTCCATTTTTAGCTGTCTAAATAAATTGCTGGACACTTGAAAGAGCAGAAATGCCATTCATTCTAGGATTTACAGCTGGAGGTGGAAATCTGAGGATCTAACCATCTGCTCAGCGTGGAGAAAAATGGAGGGCTTTGTATTTTTCCAGCACTTTGGCTTCTTTTATTGTAGCGTTATTTGTGTTCAGTGGAGTTTAAGGATCTTAGTGTTTTTTCATCGTATTGAATTGAAGAGTCCTTTACAAATTTCCACCTTCATCTGGCAAGGCCATGGAAGTCAGCAAGATTATAGGCAGGAGTGCATAAAGGTTTGTAGGGCTGAGCCCAGGTTCATGCTAAGCTGATTATCCTGATCATTAAAATATTACCATCTCTGCCGTAGACTTGGAAAACTCTTAAACAAATCCCAGCAACACCGTAACTGCAGAGGGAGCTTTAGAAAAGGCTATAAATCGGAAAAGATTATAGTAGGCATAACATTATTCCTTTTGCAAAAGAGCCCCGGGGGTCTTTAATGTGGTATTTGTGTGCTATTTTTATGTTTAGAGCATCTCAAACTGAGCACGCGCTTCTCCTGATTTTTGTGAACGCTGTGAATCGCGTGATAGATGGATGGGATTAGTTGAAGTGATGATAAAGTCTCTGCAGAAGCTTTATACAAAGTGACTGGTGTGGTGTTGTCGATACACCAGAGGGACGGGATGTCATCCAAAAGGAGGTGGGCCCAGGTGAACCTCATGAGGTTCAACAAGAGCAAATGCAAGGTTCTGCACCTGGGCCGGAACAATCCTCGCCACCAATACAAACTAGGGGGTGAGGTATTGGAAAGCAGCCCTGAGGAAAGGGACTTGGGGGTGCTGGTGGATGAGAAGCTGGACATGAGCAGGCAGTGGGCACTTGCAGCCCAGAAGGCCAATCCCATTCTGGGCTGCATCAAAAGAAGCGTTGCCAGCAGGTCCAGAGAGGGGATTCTGCCACTTTACTCTGCTCTGGTGAGACCTCACCTGGAGTATTGTGTGCAGGTCTGGAGCCCTCAATAGAAGAAGGACATGGACCTGATGGAGAGGGTCCAGAGGAGGGCCACAAGGATGATCAGGGGGATGGAGCACCTCTGCTACAAGGACAGGCTGAGGGAGCTGGGGTTGTTCAGCCTGGAGAAGAGGAGGCTCCGGGGAGACCTAATAGCAGCCTTCCAGTACCTGAAGGGAGCCTACAGGAAGGCTGGGGAGAGCCTGTTTAGAAAGGCCTGTAGTGACAGGACGAGGGGCAATGGCTTCAAGCTGGAGGGGAACAGATTTAGACTGGAGATGAGGAGAGGGTTCTTCACTGTGAGGGTGGTGGAGCACTGGAACAGGTTGCCCAGGGAGGTGGTTGAGGCCCCTTCCCTGGAGATATTCAAGGAGAGGCCCTGGGCAACCTGGTCTAGTTGGGGGTGTCCCTGCTGACTGTGGGGAGGTCGGACTAGATGACCCTTGGAGGTCCCTTCCGGCCTGGGCAATTCTATGATTCTATGATTCTATGACTGAAGATTTCGTTTGTAGGTAACGTCACTGCTCCTTCTTTTCCTTTCTTGCAGCACTTTACCTAGTCTTGATACTCCCTACCCCATGCTGGTATTAGTTGGTCCTCTGGCCTGTGGTAAGAGAGAGCTCACTCATAAGATCTGCAGACAGTTCAACAATTTCTTCAGATACGGGTAAGTTTGCTCCCTAAGTTTAAAAAAAAACATCAAGTGATCAAGGCTAGAATTGCTGCTGGTTTCTTTTTCTTTTTTTTGTTTTTTTTTTTTTAAAGAAGTTAAAAGTTAAAGACAACCTATAAATGTTCATTGCCATCATGCGTTTTATCTCTTCCCAGGGCTTGATTGCCTGAAGTCATCAAACACATCCTTAAAAAAAAAGAAAAAGCCATTTAAATTGTCATGTTCTTTTCAAAGGTGAACGGCAAACACAAATGGGCCATTTAGTGCTGCTTTTATTGATCTGTTCTATTTATGCTCCCTAATGCCCCTCAACCTAAGCATCTGTTCAGATATGTCTGCATTTCTCTTAATTTTGGTGATGTACCTGCATATAAACACATTAGGATGTACGTGCAGACCCCATCCAGAAGCTGGGAAGAGGAAGGGAGTGCAATTTCTGGCCCCATTTATTATCCCGTGAGTAGCATTATCAAAGCAAATGGCACCTTTCAGGCTTCATCACCTGCTGGGAAGACTTAATTCTCCCAGTCTGAAAGGCCTGAATTATGCTCCTCACTGCCTTGGGCTCCCTCTGTATTTAGTGAAGGGAAACTATCTCTTTCCAAGGGAGATTCAGCCTTTGTGAATCACTCCCCTGAGGTATCTACCTATTTTCAGTGCAGCGTAGACAGGAAGCCTGGCTGAGTTAGATCACCCCTCTCTGTTACCAAAAATTAGGTAAAATTAGAATCATAGAATGGTTTGGGTTGGAAGGGACCTTAAAGATCATCTTCTTCCAAACCCCCTACCCTGGGCAGGGACACCTCCCACCAGACCAGGTTGTCCAGAGCCCCATCCAACCTGGTCTTGAATACCTCCAGGGTCGGGGAAGCCACAGCTTCTCTGGGCAACCTGGGCCAGGCTCTCACCACCCTCACAGCAAAGAATTTCTTTCTAGTATCTAATCTAAATCTCCCCTCTTTCAATTTAAAACCATTCCCCCTTGTCCTATCACTACATGCCCTGATCAAGGGTCCCTCCCCATCTCTCCTGTAGGCCAGCTTCAGGTACTGGAAGGCCGTTACAAGGTTCCTCTTGTCCACCCATTCCATTCTTCAAAGTGGAATCATAGAATTGTCCAGGTTGGAAGGGACCTTTCAGATCATTGAGTCCAACCATCAACCCAATGCTGCCAAAATCTACCACTGGCCCATGTCCCTCAGCACCACGTCTGCCTGGCTTTTAAATCCTTCCAGGGATGATGACTCCACCACTTCTCTGGGCAGCCTGTTCCAAAGCTTAATACCCCTTTCAGTGAAGAATTTTTTCCCAATATCCATCCTAAACCTCCCCTGGTGCAACTTGAGGCCATTTCCTCCTTTCCTATCACCTGTTCCTTGGGAGAAGAGACCGACCCCCCCTGGCTACCCCCTCCTTTCAGGGAGTTGGAGAGAGCGAGAAGGTCTCCCCTCAGCCTCCTTTTCTCCAGGCTCAACACCCCCAGCTCCCTCAGCCGTTCCTCATGAGACTTGTGCTCCAGACCCCTCACCAGCTTCCTTGCCTCGTAATGTAACCAATTTTTTTCCTCTTCAGTGTATAAAAAAAAAAGACTGGAGCTCAGGGCACGGACCAATTTTTGTACCACTTAAACCAGACCTAAAGTATTTAACTTTCATAGTTCCTCTACCACATGCTATTTGGCACTAGTCTGTATTCCTGTTATATTGTCTTCTCTGATTTCTCATTTTATTTTTATTACATGAATTTATCTGTTCATTTTTAACCAGACTTTGGCCATAGTTTCACATGTACAGCATTGGCTGTTTTATGATTTTTAGCACCACAGGACCATGCTCTGCATGTCGATGGGATGTCTCGTAGTCGCCGCCTTCTCTAACGTAACACACCATGGGGAAAAAGCCTTTATGTATTTCTGTCTGCTCCCTACTCAGATTATAGCCACTTGCTGGATTAAATCATTAAACTGGGAAGCTGAAAGGACATTTTCAGAAAATATCTGTGAGGGTTACGTGACTGGAAAAACGACTTTTTGCCTTTCTTTAAAGCAACTACTATGTTTTGAAAGACTTGATTGGAAATTGCAAACTACTTGAACACCCGTTGAAATTTTCCAAGCACTCTGTGGGTTTTTTAAGAGCATTGTTTTGATACTGTGTATTTTATTTCCTAAAAGTTTTATGCATGAGGGAGGGGGGAAAAAAGGGAGAGAGACGGAATCTTAACAGAGCAGAAAATTGCAACCATAAAGCAAAGTTGTATTTTAATTATTCAGTGGAGATTTAAGCAATTTTATGGCTTACACTTTTAAATTTCAAACATTCCACTCATTAAAAATGTATTTCATGCAAGATACCCTGGCAGTTTCAATGTAAACATGGCCTTGCAATTAAAAAGGGTTGTAATGTTTTAAAGTGTTTCAAAAAAATAAAGTGAAATTGGACCCTCAAACCATCTGGCTAGTGCTTAGGATTGACCTTTAGAGCTGGATGCGTTCATAATATCTTAAAGAAAATCAGACCTTTGAAGTGAAATTTTACGGAGCCCACGTGTAGCACCCTCTTCTCATTTGCCAGAGCTCGCTGATAAAAATTAAAGTGGCACCCTCTAATGCTGTGATAGTTTAGATTTGTCAAGCTCTGCCTTATAGACTAAATTTCTTAATGGTTTATAACTCAGCTACCTTGACTAAACGAACAGAAATGGCCTGGTAGGTGGTATAATTTTTGCCATATTTTGCAGGACAATCCAGCAGAAGTCAAGGAGTTAAAATAGTGTCACTGTGAATCAGTGCCAAAGCTCCACATCACACTTTTCTTATCCTACATGGATAAGAAAATGTATTTCTTATCCTACATGGATAAGAAAATAATTGGACATGGACTGGCTGGAACAGGTGGAGCAGAGGGCCACGAAGATGATCATAGAATCATAGAATGGTTTGGGTTGGAAGGGACCTCAAAGATCATCCAGTTCCAACCCCCCTGCCATGGGCAGGGACACCTCCCACTAGACCAGGTTGCTCAAGGCCACATCCAGCCTGGCCTTGAACCCCTCCAGGGATGGGGCAGGTGCTCAGAGGGATGGAGCACCTCTCCTATGAAGACAGGCTGAGGAGCTGGGATTGTTCAGCCTGGAGAAGAGGAGGCTCCAGGGAGACCTTATAGCGGCCTTTCAATACCTGAAGGGTGCCTATAGAAGAGCTGGAGAAGGACTCTTTGCCAGGAAGGGTAATGATAGGACAAGGGGAAATGGTTTTAAATTGGAAGAAAAAAGATTCAGATTAAATATCAGGAAGAAATTTTTTACTATGAGGGTGGTGAGACACTGGAACAGGTTGCCCAGGGAGGTGGTGGAGGCCCCATCCCTGGAGGGGTTCAAGGCCAGGCTGGATGGGGCCTTGAGCAACCTGGTCTAGTGGGAGGTGTCCCTGCCCATGGCAGGGGGGTTGGAACTCCTTGATCTTTGAGATCCCTTCCAACCCAAACCATTCTATGATTCTGTGATTCTACAATGGAAAAATTAAAACCATGGCCTCAAGTTACGCCAGGGGAGGTTCAGGCTGGATATTGGGAAAATTTTTTTCCCTGAAAGGGTTCTCAGCCATTGGAATGGGCTGCCCAGGGAGGTGGTTGAGGCCCCATCCCTGGAGGTGTTCAAAAGACAGGTTGATGTAGTGCTGGGAGGTCTGGTTTAGTGATGATGCTCCTTGTTTGTTGTGCGGGTGTCTATTTTTGTCAGTCAGGTTGACGGTTGGACAAGATGATCTTTAAGGTCCCTTCCAACCTAGAAGATTCTGTGATTCTGTGAAAACCAAAGCAGAAACAAGTAGCAAAATATAATTTCCTAAGATAATACGTTACCCATTGCATACTTTGAATTAAAATGGCTAAGGGATGACTTTGTGGAGTAGGGTAGATGGTTGGACTCGATGATCCCAAAGGTCTCTTCCAACCTAGACGATTCTATGATTCTATGATTCTATGAAAATTGCTACGTACATTGACTTAGCTGTGGTTTTGGGGTTTCTTTTTTGTGTTTCATTCTGATTGTAGGCTCAGGTATCTGAGGTTTATCCGATTGTCCTCACGTGGTGGCAGGCAATTACTTTTCCTGCCTTGTATCCCACTTATCTTCCCAGTTTCAGTATTGTTTCTTCCCTTGCTATTAGGGATCTATTTAAAGATTGGTCTTTATATCTGTTTCTTAACCTCAGAGTTCAGCCCAGCTCCTAGTTGCCTTTTCTGTATTTAGGATTCTACTTTATATCATCCACAAGCTGACAGAACTGGCAAAAAATGGTTTCATCATTTCTCTGTTACAGGGAGCTGTGACAGCTTCAGTCCAGGCTATCCTGGGTTGGGGGGGGATTTATAGCCAAAATGTAATGTTGCATTTAAACTTTTTTTTTTTTTCTGTATTTATGGGTTAATCTTTCAAATATGCGGCATTAGTGGTATGATTTGCACCTCTTTATATTTCTCATATTTCTTCTCTTCTTAAAAATGGAATGATTTGTAGTATTCTCCCTTTCCCTCCCTCCCATTCCATAGCTGCTTCTGTGATTGAAAACAGGTTATTTCTTTATTATACCATTTATCTTCCAGTCCCTGTCACACTACCCGGGCAGCTTACTTTGGGGAAGAAAACAGACTTGATTACTATTTCGTTTCTCAAGAAGCATTTGACAAAATGGTGACTGCTGTAAGTACTCAACTACTACCCTAGTGGGCCTATTTTCTACCCCCAGAGTGAACTCAATGTTTCTGTCCAGGTCTGATATTATTATTTTTAATATTAAGTTTGTGTCTTTGTGTGTGCTTGTTCACTCACGGTTATGTGGCTTAAGTTCACACACAGAAAGCACAAATTTATTTTATATTTATGTTGTCTTTTCTATGCATATATAGAAACCATTAAGTGGGCATAATGGCCAGTAAGAATCTTTAAACAGCAAAATAATGTAGAAATAAACTTATTTCCATATGCAAATAATCTACTCTGTGTCTAGGAAAGAAAAACTCTTGAAACAGCTGCCATCTTTTTATTCTTCTTTATTATTTTTTTCTTTATTTTTTTCAAAATCTTCCAGCAATCCTGCAGGGAATGCAGCCTTTTAAAGTTTAGCAAATTCACCCCGAAGGCGTTGTGTTTCTCTCTGAAGGCAGTGTGCCTCCAGCTACTGTTTCTGATGCCTTTTGCTGCCTGCAATAAAACTTTGGCTTGAAAAGCCACAACAGAGCTCATTATTTGTACATACACAAAGGGGGGAGCCAACGCAGTCTTAAGCAACTGATCTGGCCCTTAATGATAACTCTCAGTAATCAAGTCCTTAAATTTTAAAAGAATATAATCTGCTTACATCTCTCTCGACGTACTACTGGGAACCAAAGTTTCTCTTGTCAGGTTTTAACTTTGAAATTTCGTGGCCAATTATGCATTCTCCTTGCAGATTTGTTTCCGTCCTCTTTTTTTTTTTTTTCCTTTGGCATCTTCTATTTTCTATGGCACGGCCATATGGTTTGATGCAATGTCAGAAGAAGGATGCCCCTTGCTTTAGATCTTGCTTTCTTTTACAGTGGGAATGAATAACCCATGAAAGCTGTAACCTGTCAGCAGCTTGTTTTCAAGAGGCTGGTGTTTTATTATCCATGAGCGACGTAGGAGCCCCTACCCCTGCAGGACTGACTGGCTGCTCTTCCCTGCAAATTCCTTCTCCCATCGGCCTCATTATCACTGATGATTTAGGCAGGGGGAAACTTTGTAGGGAGAGAAAAGCAAGGAAATCCAGAGTGATTATGATCCTCTAAGGAAGTTAATGCCCTTAAAATATTTCCTTTGTCGTTATACTCGGTGTTTTGAATTTCAGGGCAAGTTTATAGCAACCTATAAATACAGTGGCTATCACTACGGACTTGGGAGAGACACCATAGAATCAATTGCCAGAGAAGGTCTTGCAACCTGTGTTCACTTAGAAATAGAGGTAAGGATTAATTAATTCCTTATTGCCTAACCGTTTTCGAACGAGTCATTCTGTGAGTACTCTCCTGCTGGCTTCTTAAAATTTCCTGGCCTATTTTTCCAATCTTCAGCAGCCTCATCTCCCCACCACGTCACCAGTTCTTTCCATTAGAGGATCCTCAGCTTTCCACCCATCTGCAGCTTGTAGTGGGACTAGTCTAGAGCTGCCCACCTACTGTTCACCCTTACAAAAAATGCCATGTTTCTCCTTTGCTGATGAGGCAACGGAGGATGTGTGCAGGCCCGCGGCAATATTTTGGGCAGAATTATTAAAAAATGCAATCTCTTGGAGGGATTGCTTTGCCCTCTCTGAGCTTTGTCAGGTGCACACGCACAGATGGCAGAATCTCAGAAGTTAAGAAACTAGGTCACAAACAAAGTGTCAAAACCTCACTCTTGGGATCCCCAAAGAATAACTTTTTAGCTAATTTTCTAATTGTGTACTTCTCATTATCTTAGATGAAGATTTACTACCTAGGGGTTGAGGTGACAAAAAGGGTAGGCGTGCTACATTGCCTTCCAAATTCTTCCTACAAAATAAGCACCATCTATATGAGCTTCCAAAATGAGAGACTTTACAGAGTGCCCAGTATGTGATACAGGGTGTTGCTGGGATTCACTGTGTTTGTAGGGCTCAGCTCTATCTCTGGAGGATTACTACAATTTAACAGACACTACTACACTCCATGATAGATGGGGGAATAATAGTAGATACCAAAACTGAGATCATCAAGTCCAACCACAAAAAACAAAAACAAAAAAACAAACCAAAAAAACCACACAACCACCACAAAAACAACCACCCAAAACCACCACCCACCAACTAAACCCCACTCCCACAACCCCACACACAACACCCCACCACAAACCAATAACCTTGGGCACTAGAGCAGGCCCTGAAGAGCCACGTCTACACGTTTCTTAAATACCTCCAGGGATGGTGACTCCACCACCTCCCTGGGCAGGCTGTTCCAGTGCCTGACCACTCTTTCAGTAAAGTAATTCTTCCTAATATCTAATCTGAATCTCCCTTGCCACAGCTTCATACCATTACCTCTGGTCCTGTCATTATTCCTTTGGGAGAAGAGGCCAACCCCCACCTCTCTACACCCTCCTTTCAGGTAGTTGTAGAGGGCAATGAGGTCTCCCCTCAGCCTCCTCTTCTCCAAACTAAACATGCCCAGTTCCCTCAGCCTCTCCTCATAGGACTTGTTCTCCAGACCAAATGTGGGAGACTGCAGTGCTAACAGGATCCTAAGTTGTGCATCCAGAGTTAGGGGAATGACTAGGGAGACTTGAGCAAAAATTATCCTAAATTTAATTAATTTTAGGATAATTATCTTGTTTGTGAAACTGATGATCGAAAAACTAGTTTTTACTTAAGAACCTTAGAGTTCATAAGGAGTTGTAGTCCCCGTTGGCCCAAATAAATCTGTATGTGTTTACTGGCTTGCATATCAGTGTACAAATAACAGAATAGCAGCATGTCAGCGCTAAAAAATTAGTAGCTCCTTGCTCAAATGGTCCACGATTTAATGCTGCAATCTTGGTCTTAAGTGCCTGTTACTTGGCTGATATTAAACAGCAAATTAATAACTTAATCTCTGCGTTGTTCCATTTCCTCGTTTTCCTTGCTCTTGTGAGAATGGGAATCACCCTCAGTCTCCACTGCTTGCAGTAGGCAGTGAGTGCATTTGTTGTCTTGCCTGACAGACCCTAAATTTATCAGGGCAGAAAAATAGGAGAAGATTAAATATGATGGAATGGGTTGCCTTTTAAAGTTGTCAATTCTTCACAAAGCAGATGGGTTATCAAATAATTTAGGAGAAGAAACTTAATGGAACGTCGTGTTTATTCATGAGGAGGTTAACCCAGCGACACGGGCAGTGACCATAATTTTTACTGGGTATTACCAAAGCAACTGTCATGGACAGATAGTGAAGAAACTCCTTTGTCACTGAAGTTTCAAGATCACCTAGTAATTATGCATAGTCTTGTATCACTGTGGATTTTGCCAGCAGATGAGAAACAATAATGGTGAGTTATGGATCTGAATAGAAGTTATCGAAGTCCATTATCTTCCGCGAGGCTCATAACAAAAGTGATTTACCACTATTAAAAGAAATTTTAATTATGGTCTGTGGGCTGAGACTAAAAATTTAGAGCTGTTCATTCCCTTTAATCTGGAGTATATCTTTCACTGATAAAGGAGACTGACACAAATTGTAAAAGTTAAATCTTGCTGAGTCTACACTTCCAGTTAGTGCAGCTGCTGTAATTTTGGCACAGTCTGCAGGGCTTTTCCCTTTACTTCTGTAGCCACCGATACCTGCAGAGCAACTGAAGGAGCTGCACGTGGCTAATGTGTCTCATCCTGCTTCCAGAAACATAAGCACACCCTGTCTCCTACCAAAGACCACCCTGTATTGCACTTATTACTGGTTATTCAGGCTGGGCACTCAAAGGAAGTAGGATATAATACTAGACAACATCTCTTTTAGAAGCCCATGCTGTTAAAATTGAGATGCTTTAGCTACTTTAAATGAATGGACACGCAGCATGGGCAACAAACAGGAGGAGCTGGAAACCACCGTGCTGCTAGAAAGCTTACAACCTGGTTGCCATTACTGAGACCTGGTGGGACAAATCTCTGGTGACAGCTCCCTGCAGTGCTGCTTCAATCTGGGGCCTCAGCACAGGAGAGACGTGGACCTGTTGGAATGGGGCCAGAGGAGGACACGGAGATGATCCAAGTGTTGGAGCCGCTCTGCTGGGGGGACAGGCTGAGAGAGTTGGGGGGTTCAGCCTGGAGAAGAGAAGGCTCCAGGGAGACCTTAGAGCCCCTTCCAGTCCCTCAAGGGGCTCCAGGAGAGATGGGGAGGGACTCTTGATCAGGGAGGGGAGCCCTAGCATGAGGGGGTCAGTTTTAAACTGAGAGAAGGGAGATTTTGATTAGGTATTAGGAAGAACTTCTTTGCTGTGAGGGTGGTGAGAGCCTGGCCCAGGTTGGCCAGAGAAGCTGTGGCTGCCCCATCCCTGGAGGGGTTCAAGGCCAGGTTGGAGGGGGCTTTGAGCAACCTGGTCTGGTGGGAGGTGTCCCTGCCCAGGGCAGGGGGTTGGAACTGGATGATCTTGAAGGTCCCTTCCAACCCAAACCATTCTGTGATTCTATGCAAGTTCAGGAAACTCAAATTTTACATTGCAAGCTGCCCCAGCAAAATAAATTTGTCTGTATCTTGATGAAGTTCCATGCTTTCACTTAGAAGAACACACCAGCTGAGGAGAAAAGTGTCAGGTTGTTCAAAGTGGAAATCTAAGGTCCAAGGCCGTGATGCAGGTAAGTTGTGCTGTGGGCCCGTACAATAGTGTGGGTAAGTGATACACACATTTAGAATAACTGCATCCTGATGTAACAGAAAGGATGGAAAAGAAGGAAAAGCCATTAACTGGGGGGTATGAGAAGTACGATGCTTTAAATCACTGTGGAATTTGGCTAAAAGGATTCTTTCAAATGTGTGTTTAGAAGAAAGTTATACTATTCTTACAACATTTTCCACGTGTCACTTTAGGGCACTTCACCTTGACCTTGCCCTCGCTGATAGATCTTGAGACCTGTTGATTGTAGACAGGTTTCCAGTGCTGCTTTCACCCTAATTTGGGATAAATACAGAGTTGTCCTAAACTCAGCTACAGGTTCAACAGGCACTCAGTGTCAGGAACAAAACATTGTATTTCTCTGCTTAATTTTTAAGGGTGCACATAGCTTGAAAAATACCTACTTTAAACCCAGATACATCCTGTTGGTACCAAAGAACAAGGAAAAATATGAGGGACATCTGCGGAGGAAAGGATTATTCAGCAGGCCAGAGATTGAGGAGGCAGTCTCCAGAGTGGACATGTACATCAAATTAAGTGAGGATTTTCCGGGATACTTCGATGCAGTAGTCAACACAGGTAAATTAATCTCTTTCATGCTATAAATCTGACTTTTAATGTCACACCAATAGATGGATTCAAACTGCTACACAAACAAAGCCACTGGAAAATACTAAAGATAACAAACGGTTTTATATTCGGCATGACAGTTTAAACTATCCCTTAATTAATTTTCCCAGTTAATTCTTGTCCCAGGTATCCAAAAGCTCTGGAGATCTCTCAGGACTGAACGACTCTGCTGTGTCCAAGTTGTGCTTTAAGCCCATCTAGAAAGCGAACCAACTATTGAAGCCCACTCCTTAAGTATTGTCTCCTAGGAGAATATTAAACTGAGCTGTGCTAATTGTCTGTTGGTTTCTGGACAGAGTTCAGAGGTGCTTTTGATCTTAAAGACTAATTATCTCTGGGCAGCACAGGCTTTTTTCAAGTGTTGAAATGATAACAACTGATGTGACAGCTGACAACATCTCCCTGTAAAGAAGAGGCTGCTGCAAAGCTGTTCCTTGCAGAACTCATCTACTTAGTAACATGCTCAAGTCCACCTGCCTGAAACCAGGAACGAGGGTGGTAGATGTTTTCATTAAAGCTAATGTTTGCTTCTTGATTTTTAGGAATTGAGGATAGCAGGCGGTAAAGGAGAAGCCTTTTCTAGTTCTGTGTCTACCCTTTTGTGGAGGTGATTTTTGTGGTTCACCGCTGTGATGGTGAAATGTATCACTGCGGAATGAAATATGTGTATTTGGAATTATTGTCAAGGGCATTTGGAGCTTAAAATTTAAATAGAATCATAGAGTGGTTTGAGTTGGAAGGGACCTTAAAGATCATCGAGTTCCAAACCCCTGCCATGGGCAGGGACACCTCCCACCAGACCAGGTTGCTCCAAGCCCCATCCAGCCTGGCCTTGAACCCCTCCAGGGATGGGGCAGCCACAGCTTCTCTGGGCAACTTGGGCCAGTGTCTCACCACCCTCACAGCAAATTTCTTTCTGGTATCTAATCTAAATCTTCTCTCTTTCCATTTAAAACCATTACCCCTCATCCTATCACTACATTCCCTGATCAAGAGTCCCTCCCGATCTCTCCTGTAGGTCCCCTTCAGGTACTGGAAGGCTGTTATAAGGTCTCCTTTGAGCCTTTTCTTCTCCAGGCTGAACTCCCCCCAACTCTCAGCCTGTAAATGTAGCATTAAAGAAAGAAAACACAGTAAACCAAATTGCAGAAGGAGAATATTTAGGTGAGTGCAGAAACTGAGGTGAATTTCAGATTACGGTCTTGAATGTACCATTTATGAAGATGATGTTTCTCCAAAAGAGATGAGCTGGATGAGTTAAAGGTGTGTTTCTGTATCAAACTTCTGTGATTTGGAGCTTTGTACTGATGAAAGCTTGTTTGGTTGGTTTTTTTTCCCTTATGTATCCTTTCTCCTCACCATGAAATTCACATGTCCCTTTCTGCAGATGATCTGGATGAGGCATTGACAGAGCTGAGTTTCCTTGTCAAGGCGTACCTGGGCTTGGAGGCACCTGCAGTTTTTGATAGCATTCAGGTCTGGAGCAGCAAATCAGGAGCAGGTACTGTATCTGGGCACATGCTACTACTGGTTTTATCAGGACAATATTCCTACTTATTTGTTACAAGAACTGGTATCTGTGAATGAATAGGTCTCCTGGACTGATTCCTCCTTGGGATCTGAATCGTTAATGGAGACCTTTGTAGGTTCTTTACATCACTGTGTGCCCTGAGGCAGTAATATGCAGAAAGTGACTTGCCTCACTCTTCTGAGGATATTTTTGGCCTGAGGATCTTCTGTTCATTCCAGATGAAGCGAGATTTGTGTCCAGGCCTGGTGGCTTTTGTCTATCAAACTGTTGAGCAACAAGAAAATGGCAGGGCACTGAGACTTTACTGTCTTCCCCAGAACAGCCAGAAGCATGAAGAGATTCTGGAAGGACAGTAATATGAGTGAAGGCAACTTATAAATTAACTCCAAGGGCTTGTGGGGCCACCCACTGTGAGGTCAACCCAAATGATCAATATTGTTTTTAACAGAAGCCTTTTAGCCCTTGCACGACTTGGGCTGGAGCCTCATGATCTCTTCCAGCTAATCCAGCTGCTGTAAAAAGTGGTCAAAGAATCATAGAATGGTTCAGGTTGGAATGGTTCAGTCATGATCTCTTCCAGCTAATCCAGCTGCTGCAAAAAGTGGTCAAAGTATCAGAGGTTGGAATGGTTCAGGATCATCCAGTTCCAACCTCCTGCCATGGTCAGGGACACCTCCCACCAGATCAGGTTGCTCTAAGCCCCGTCCAACCTGGTCTTTAACCACTCCAGGGATGGGGCAGCCACAGCTTCTCTGGGCAACCTGGGCCAGTGTCTCACCACCCTCATAGCAAAGAATTTCTTCCTGATATGTCATTTAAAACATCTAAAACTCCCCTCTTTCAATTTAAAACTGTCCCCCTGATCCTATGGCTCCCCTCCCTGATCAAAAGTCCCTCCCCAGCTTTCCTGGAGTCCCTTTAGGGACTGGAAGGGGCTCTAAGGTCTTCCTGGAGCCTTTTCTTCTCCAGGCTGAACCCCCCCAACTCTCTCAGCCTGTCTTCAATCATGGCCAACTTACCTCTCCTGCCAATGCATTTCTAGTTGGCTCATTGCTCTCAACCTCCTGATCATAGAATCATAGAATCATTGAGGTTGGAAGAGACCCTTGGGATCATCGAGTCCAACCATCTACCCTACTCTACAAAGTCCTCCCCTACACCATATCCCTCAGTACCCCATCTAAACGTCCCTTAAACACACCCAGGGATGGTGACTCCACCCCCTCCCTGGGCAGCCTGTTCCAATGCCCGAACTCTCTTTCTGTGAAAAATTCCTTCCTAATGTTCAGTCTAAACCTACCCTGTTGGAGCTTGAAGCCGTTCCCTCTCGTTCTATTGTTAATTACCTGTGAGAAGAGACCAGCACCAACCTCTCTACAGTGTCCTTTCAAGTAGTTGTAGAGAGTGATGAGGTCTCCCCTCAGCCTCCTCTTCCTCATACTAAACAGCCCCAGCTCCTTCAGCCACTCTTCATATGATTTGTCTTCTAGGCCCTTCACTAGTTTCGTTGCCCTGATGGTGCAACCATTTCTACTCTGGATCAGGGAACAGTTCCTTTCAAAAACTAACCTAGGAAAGAGAACAACTCTGACTTTCAGACAAATGATTCTGTGGTCAAACTCATCAGGCAGCACTTGAATAGGGAGGGAAGGGTAGGGGAGAAGAGAAGAGCTTTTTGGCTGCCTGTGGAGGAAGAAAGGAGGAGTTCTCTTGTCAGAAGCAGCATAACTAAGATAAGCTTAACATATTGTGAGAACTCAGCTGTAGCCCTTGAATTTATTCCAGACAGGGCAGGTTACCAGCTGGGATAAAAGCAGAATATGAGCTCTAAAATAGTGAAGAAAAAGAGAGAAGAAACAGGCATTACAGTGGTTAAGATACGGCACAACATGGACTAATAAGGAGCTCATTTACGTGAACTCTTTCCTCTAATTCCAAGAGTTATGTTGGTTTATGGCTGTCTTCATTAGATGCATTGCAAGAGGAGGGTTAATGAGTTTCCCAAGTAACACAGAGCCAATATTCATGACCTTCTGTGTGGCTCAGTCGGCTGCAAATAAAAGTAGCTGAAAGGAGGGCAAACACGTCTGAAAATGTTAATGAAGGATAGTGTAAAATTCATCGGTTCATCATTTCAAGTAATTTTGTATCCTGAAAGAATTAATAAATACTGATTTCCCAGCGGACAAGAGAAAAGCTTCTACACATATTGTGGCGTCTCAGTGCTATGGCAGTGGGGACCTTTCCCAAGAATCTTATTTAATCTTAAACTATGTAGGTTTTATTTTCATTTCCAGAGCTTCCACGCTTGTTTGAAATGAGAAAGAAGACTTCCTTGCCTTATTTACTATAACATTATTACTTATTTGTCTTAAAAACACTGGAGACGTTTTGTCCTGAGAGGCAATGAAACGCACCGAACCCTAACTAGATTATCAGGAAAGAAGAAAAAGGGGGAGGATTAAAGATAAAAGATTTTTATATAATCATGGTATTTTTGAAGAAATATATGTATGTATCCGGAGTTCTTTTAAAGAACTTTGTATTCCTCAGCAGTTCTGAGTTCTTTCAGCGAGTGACTTGTCACTAGTTACAGAAACATCATTAATAGGACTAGATTTTGGTAATTCTGCTGTCCATAAAGTAACTTTTAAATTTACTATGCACCATTAAATTCATTTAGAGCTTCATTTATAGGTGTTTAAATAAATTTAACTACCCTATTTCTAGAGATCAGCTCTTCTTATGGACTCTGTGAAATAATTTATTTTAAAAAACTTGCCCCAAGGTTGTCTTTAATACGGACATTTTTAGTAAGATGGTAGCAGGGGGAAGATTGGTTGTGTGAGATTATGATAGGCTGTTAATTCCTTTTTTAATGAACTGCTGTGCAAGATCTTTTGCTCGTGTATAGAGTAAAAATACTTGGGAGAAAATAGATAAGCTCTTCCTTTAAAAACTTTTTATGGCAGAAGTATAATACATTTCAGAGCTGATAACGCTTTGTACTGGCATTAGCAGCCTTCATCCACGGAACTTAGTACTTTACAGCTATTAATTATATCTCACAGCAGTCCTGCAGAGTATGCATGACTGTTTGTATTTTGCAAATCAGGAAAGGGACATTTATATCAAAGGCTGATGGTTTGTGATGGTGGGCACCAGGAAACCCACTGAAGTTTAGGCTCTGGGGTCGAACCGAGTAGGTTACGGTGCATGAACCAGAACCCACCCATCTCAAATCTCCTCTGTTCTTAACATCAGATCTTCTGGCAGCTACAAACCAGCTGTGTACAATGGCTATGCTGACAGGCCTCTGATGACTGTTGAAACTTTTTTAGAAAGGCATATGCTAAGAAAAACAACCGTACTTAGTATATGAACATAGATTCCTAGAATCATAGAGTTGCCCAGGTTGGAAGGGACCTTTCAGATCATTGAGTCCAACCATCGGCTTAACACTGACAAAAACCATCACTAAACCATATCCCTCAGCACTATGTCTACCTGTCTTTCTTTTAAATATCTCCAGGGATGGTATCTAAACATGGTATAGTATCATAGAATGGTTCAGATTGGATGGGAACTTAAAGATCATTGAGTTCTGTTCCCCCTGCCATGGGCAGATATAACATGCATATGGATGGAATGTCTCTTTCCCTATAGATGTGACTCTTGTGCTTTGATATGACACACAATGCAATTAGACCTTTTTTTTGATTGGATTTCTGCAAAGACTGTCATGTACCAATGTTTATAAGAATTCTTCTGTGGCTTAATTTCATATTTAGATACAATTTGCTAGACAGGATAATTCCCAGTGTAAAGATTTTTTTAAAATTTGGAAAAAAAACACAGAATCACAGACTGTCAGTGGTTGGAAGGGACCTCTGGAGATCATCTAGTCCAACCCCCTGCCAGAGCAGGGTCACCCAGAGCAGGTTGGTCAGGAACACATCCAGATGGGTCTCCAGAGAAGGAGATGTTTTGGGAAAAAGTGTGTTAGTTGTGTCTTTGGCTTTCTGGCTCTCAGTCATTTTTGATTCCTTGTGATGCAAGTCTTTGGGTTCATGTTCACAGAAATTCAGGTGAGTAGCAGAAGAAAAGGTGCCCCTCTCCAACTCCCTGTCACGTTCAAGAGCTCTGAGAAGGTTTAAACTTGTAAGTAGGGAGACTGTAATTAGCTTCGAGGTCATAACAGTGGTGTATCTCAGAGCATCCATAACAAAATGAGCTCATTTACACACAGTTAAGCACCTCTTCCTAGTCCATTAATGTAGAAGGGGTTTTTTTTTTAGATTTTTCATAAGTTTCATTTGCCAAACTTTTCAGGGGGGATAAATTTGTTATATCTGTGAAGAAGCATTTGGAAGGTTTTAAAGATTTTAGGGAACTGTATAGTTTATATCCTTTATATTATCTTTTGCGAATCCAGAATTGTTCCAAAATTCAGCTGATGACAGTTGCAAATAACTAGTTTATTTCTGCCTGCAAAGTGGTGTTTAGAATATTTTTGTTGAGAATTATCTTTTCCATACCAGGTTCAAGAATACCACTCTTACAAGAGCAAAGATTGTCACCCAGCAGAGTAATCCCTGGAACTTGGTCTTCACCTGTCAATGAGTTCATTGTTCCAAGAGTTTTGGACTCTTCAGCCAAAAACAGGCCAGGGAGCATCTCGGACAAAGTAGCTGCACAACTGAGTGCTCTGGTAAGGAGCTTTTACTCTTACTTTAGAGAGAAATGATAAGTTGTATGCAAAAAATACACATTACTCAGACCTTTTCTTTCTCCAGAGAAAATTGACAGCTGTTCTCTGGCCATCTTTCATCCTTTCATTTCAACAATATTTACCAGTTCCCCAAAGTCAAAGGCAGATTGATGAGAACGAGGCAGGTAAACTCAGAGGAGAGGACAAGCTGCCGTTTCTGCTCAATTTTACACCAGAATAAATCTGTTGATCACGACTGATTTCGTCCAATTTTGTGCTGGTGTAAGGGAGCTGAATTATCATCTGTCAGTTCTACAACGAGATATGAAACTCTCCTGTTGGGAGGAAAATAGTTAGATGCAGTTAAGAGGACAATGAAGATTACTTATGAACGCCATCCTGTGGCAGTGGAAAAACTCTTTCAGCAGAGTTGGAGTTTATACTGGTGATAACTGCCAGAGTTTAAATTTAAGCACATTTTTCACCGGCTTTTACTTCTTTCAGTCAACAGATTCAACAATGTGCTTGGATTTCAAATAACCTTTTGCAACTTCAGCTTCATCTCTCTCTCTCTCTTTTTTACTTCTCCTTAATAGTTCTTTCCCTAGAGGCATTCATTCTCCTTGCAGGCAGCTGGGGGGGAGTTGGGGCTGGGAAGCAGATGTGTCTAATGCTCTTTTTATACCACAATGACAGGAGAAAGAGAAAAAGAAAAATGAAATCTTTAAACTTTGTTCCATTCCAGGGTGATGATGTCATTATGATGAATGATGGCTTGGCAGCCGTGACTTGCTGTACAATTTTGCCACTATCTCTGTATTTATAACTACCTCCGATGTTTAGAATTAGTGCTGTAGATGGAGAAAAGTAACAGACCCCTCTGCCCCCCCCCCACTTTTCCAGGCTTTATAGAAGGCTCTCTTAGGCATGGAGAAAGGTATGACTGTAAAATGGCTGATATAAATAGGGAACCTCCCTTCCGAAATGAAATACCTCTTTTCAAGCCACGCGGAATTAAAAAAAAATGTCACAAGTGTGGTTTATTTTCATGTTCCTGTCACCCAAAGGTTTGTTAGTTTAATGTGAGAGAGAAACCAGAATATTTCTTCCCTTGGTAGCACTCTGCCTTCACTCCCACCACCCCAGCAATTCATTTTTCTCCCTTTTTTTATTTCATCTTTTTTTTTTTTTTAATTCTTATTGGGAAAGTTTACATTTTGTCGAGTCAGGGAGAAGTGGTTCATGATCAAGGTGGGGGGGGACTATCATTTACCTTGCATTTAACTTCATTTTGTCGAGTCAGGGAGAAGTGGTTCATAATCAAGGAGGGGCTATCATTTACCTTGCATTTAACTTAGTGGCCACAAGGCTCTCTTTCTTATTAGTCTCCTCGTTCAGTGCTGGCAATACCTTTCTTTTATTTACTACACTAAGTTCCCAATATATTTTTACAAGCAGAGGAAGCTTTATGGCATCAGCCAAAGTGTCAGCGTTGTAAAACATTCAAGGTGAAACACAGGTGCCTCTTAGACCATATTTAATGAGGAGAATATAAATATGTCTGTGGCCTTAAAGTCAAATTTTGTCTAAACTGTTGTATGTGGGAAAGCAAAAGGGTTTTGTGCTTTTGATACACAAATAATGTGCTGTCACTGCAGTAACCACATTCAACTCCCATTAGGTAGAACTGGAAAATAAAAAATACGAAGAAATTAATGTGAATTATCCACAAGCAAAATAAGAAGCAGGAGCTGCTGCTCGGGGAAAGGCAGTAGATCTGATTCCCTGCAGCTTTATCCCTGGTGAGCACGCCAAGCCTGTGCTAATTTGGGGTGGCTGTAATTAACTCTACAAGGAAAGGTATCTGTACCTGTAATCCACACAGAAAAAAAGAGTGAGAATTAGATCTTCACTAGAAGAAAGCAAAACAAAAGACAAGCTCAGTGAGCATCTTAGCATAAATAGGGAAGGAAAATGAAGGAATTCACAATAGTCATAACGTGAGCATTCAGCAGATGAACTATATTCTCTTTCACTGCTCGTGCCATGACAGAACACCTCTGTTCCAGACACGGGATTTAGCTATTAAATTGATATCAAACTCTCAATGGCTATCAGCTGATAGCAATTCAGGATTTAATAACTGTGCTCTGTGATTTACATTTTATTTTTTTAAGCCCGCTTGTAGCGCTGCGTTTGTCTGAGCTGAGAAATTACATTGTCCTACAGCACGTGTTAATTAACGCGCCCGCAAAACTCAGGACCCCATTTTCCAGTCTGCTGAGATCCTAATGTGTGCAAAGTCGGTTTAACTAACTGGAATTTGCAAAAAGTTAATTCCTTCTTTGAAGGGGGGGAATATGAGTTGATACGGAGCTGGTGAGGCAGGTTTTCTGCCTTGATGAAGCAAGGAGACAGTGTGGTTAAGGTATATCAGAGGCAAATTCTTCTGTGTTCGGCTCCTTGCTAGTGAAAAGAAGCTGAAGACATCAACAGAGCTAGAATTATCCCCAGGAGGTTGGGAGGCATCAAAAGTGGTTCTCTGCAGATATTCCTTCCTGGCACGTTTTGACTACTATGAAGAAATGGAGCTTCGCTGGAGATGAAGATCTTCATTTTTCAAAGCCAACGAGATTTCAGACGAAAATTTGGTTTATATAGATGGGTGAATCGTATTTAGCACCTTGTTAGTTATAAAACAGCACTGCAATTTTCCCAGAACGTAGAAATCCGTGCACTCTAGAGTCTTAATGAAAGAGCAGAATCTCACAGCCAATTAAGTTACTGTATATACTTTTAAGTTGCTGTATAAAGTCGGTTGTATATACTTTTAAGTTGCTGTATAAAGTCAGTCGTATTGCTCTCTACAACTCCCTGAAAGGAGGGTGTAGAGAGATGGGGGTCGGTCTCTTCTCTCAAGTCACAGGTGACAGGACAAGAGGAAATGGCCTCAAGTTGCACCAGGGGAGGTTCAGGCTGGATATTAGGAACAATTTTTTCACTGAAAGGGTTCTCAGCCATTGGACTGGGCTGCCCAGGGAGGGGGTTGAGGCACCATCCCTGGAGGGGTTCAAAAGACAGGTTGATGTAGTGCTGGGAGGTCTGGTTTAGTGATGATGCTCCTTGTTTGTTGTGTGGGTGTCTATTTTTGTCAGGTTGACGGTTGGACAAGATGATCTTTAAGGTCCCTTCCAACCTAGAAGATTCTGTGATTCTGTATTTCTTTATCAGGAAGAAGCTTCTCTCCAAAGGCGTCGTTCTGCGGCACGACAGGCTTTGTCGGGGAAGGCACCCAGTGCCTACGTCCAGCTCTTTCAAAGGTAACACAGAGCAGTTTTCAGCCAAGTTCTTTTGCAATCAAGTGAAAAAAATGCCTGTTTAAGCTTTCTTCTCCACTCCTCTTAAGGATGAATGATTAGAAACTGTCAGGGGTTGCAAATCTCCCAGACAGCTCTCCTTCTTATCACTTTTAAATCTCGCCCTACAAATACATCACACTCCACCTGTCTTTTGACTTGGGAGTGCAGCCGTCCCGAAATGCCTACCCAAAATGTATGAGGCAGAGCCATCCACAAGAACTTGTGGAAAACTATGAAATTATTGTATGCTGCTTCTCGGAGAGAGCAGAAAAGGATAATTTTTCTGGCAGCTCACAGTCTCCGGCATGTTTTTTAGCACTACTAGCAATTAGTGTTGGAAAGTCACAGCTGTGCTCAGTGCAAGGTTGTTTGCTGCAGTACATCTTCTGTGGGTCTCTCTGTTTAAAGCAGAATTTCTGAAAGCTGACTCCATTTCCTAATTTTTTAATATTTTTTTATTATTTTTTAGAAAATGGATCCTGTCTTGACTCTCTCTCCTCCTTTCTCCTCATAGCCATGGCCCTGCAAAAATGGTGTTAAAAGTCTATAAATCTCCATGTGCCTTCTTTGATTGATCTTTTGTGGCACTCCTGCCTTCCCCTGGTATAAATTGTCCTAATCTCAATTCTTCTCTGCTTGCTTTTCCTACCTGCCATGAAAAGGCTCTCAAGTGTTGACATTTAAAGTATCACATAGGCCTCTAAATCAGCCATCAGCAGAACAAAGAGAAAAGTTCACACCTTTCAGCTCATTTCAGGGCTGTACAAGGGCAGTCGCCAATCGTACCTACAGAATGTGTTGATGAAAATCATTCCGATGACAAAGTCTGGAAAAAGAAAGAAAAAAAGAAAGAAGGAAAAAAAAAATTAGTGAATTAAACTGTCCCTAGGAATCCAGTGGCAGGAGCTTACAGGCAGAGATGCATCATTATGAGGCATTTTCCAAATTGTTACTTAGAGAAAAGGTTTTTCAAGTAGCGGATTCACTCATTTTAAATGATGTTGAAATGAGAAGAAAAATGGAAATCAGTGTTTTTTCTTTTGCTAGACATTTCGGGTTTGATTTAGTGTTGGGGTGTGAACTGTTCAGCTGAGGCTGCCTTAGTTTGTTGCTCTTTGCTGCCTTTATTCCACAATATTCATTCACTGGAAGCTGATTTTGGAGTTAAGAATTGGACTTGCTTTGGTGGAGCTGTCAGGCAGGTGAGAGAAAATCCTGTCACCCCCAATCAGCATTTGCAATTACCAGGCCTCAAGGGATAGATGCGCTCAGCAGAGTCGGAGGCAAGTGTAGACAGCACCCCATTCCACACAAGAGGTTAAGTCAAGAGGTGCCATAAATATGAATGTTATAAAGTGGTTGAAATTCAAAGAGAGGATCTGTATCCTCTTGTCGGGTGCTGCACCTGGGGAGAAATAACCCCATGCACAAGGACAGGTTGGGGGCTGACCTGCTGGAGAGTCCTGGTGGACATCAGGATGACCATGAGCCAGCAATGTGTCCTTGTGGCCAAGAAGGACAATGGCATCTTGGGGTCCATCAAGGCGAGTGTGGGCAGCAGGTGGAGGGAGGTCATCCTCCTCCTCTGCTCTGCCCTGGGGAGGCCACATCTGGAGTGCTGAGTGCAGTTCTGGGCTCTTCAGTTCCAGAAGGACAGGAAACTGGTGGAGAGGGAACAGCAAAGGGCTACGAAGATGCTGAGGGGACTAGAACATTTCTCTGATGTGGAAAGGCTGAGGGACTTGTGTCTTTTTAGACTGGAGAAGAGAAAACTGAGGGGGTATCTCATAAATGCTTATAAATATTTAAAGGGTGGGTGTCAGGAGGATGGGGCCAGTCTTTTTTTGGTGGTGCCCAGTGACAGGAGAAGAGGGAATGGGCACAAACGTGAATGTAAGAAGTTCCACCTAAATATGAGGAGGAACTTCTTTATTTTTGGGGTGGCAGAGCCCTAGAAGAGTCTGCCCAGAGAGGTGGTGGAGTCTCCTTCTCTGGAGACATTCAAAACCCTCCTGGACACGTTCCTGTGCAACCTGCTTTGGGTGGACCTGCTTTGGTAGGGGGTTGGACTAGATGATCTCCAGAGGTCCCTTCCAACCCCATATCATTCTGTGATTTTGTAATCCTGGAATGTAGCAATTAGCTAGCAGAGAACCCAGTGGGTCATAGTCCAGTCCAGCAGCAAGGGTATGGTTGTTCTGTTGAGCATGTTTGTTCCTATAGAATTGAATCATGTTTTAAATACCCATAGGAGAGGAGCTTCCACCTTGGAAAAGCTCACCTGGGGCTTTGATGGATCTTTCTTTCCATATGTAATGATGGACCTGAGTCATGAGGAGCTTAAAAGGTTATTGTGTGTCATCTTAGCTCTGGTAACCGTCTTTATGCCCGCTTTTAGCCTATAGGAAATGTAAGGTGATGTGGCTTTCTTTAGCTTTTATCAAGGGCTAAGCAAGGAATTTGTACACAGATTGTGCCACTGAGATGACTCAAGGTAATTCGTTGTGTCATCATTTGTGGTGCCATTAGCAGCAGCACCCAAATAATCCTGGGGTGGTTACACTATTATATTGCTTTATACCTTTCCACGGTTCTTACTTAAATTGTATTTATTTTAATGTCTTTTCATCTTTCTCTGGAAGTTCTATGCTTAGTCGATTCAGTGGGATTACTGTAAAGTCTCTCTAATTTGTTAATTAACTCTCAAAATTGATCAGTCCAGAGTATTTCAAGTGTCCCTACAACTATTGCTGGCAAAGACGACACTCAAGCTTCACTTGAGGCACCCTACTTCATTATCTCAGCACTTTCAAGTGTCCCTACAACTATTGCTGGCAAAGACGACACTCAAGCTTCACTTGAGGCACCCTACTTCATTATTTTGGCATATTTTGCTCAAAAATTACACCAATCTTTTCGTTGAGCCATTATTGCATCAGATACCCAGGCTCGACATCTCATCTTATTGTTACATCCAGATCCATCTTGACTTTAGTGCTTCCCAGATTTCTCTCTCCTGTGGCATATCCACATTGGAAGTTATTTTCTTTCAAGCTGTATTTTATTTGGAGGTTTTTATTTCTCTCCTTACTTGGCTGCAGAAATAGAATGGGTCGTGCCTGTTTAAAATCCAGTTTTAAAAAACTCCAGCGTCTATTTTTGCTTTAATCTTATCAGCTTTGTTCTGATGAATTTTTATTTGGAACTTGATAGACCTTTTCCTTATTTTCATTGTCAGCAGCGGTGCATAATGTACTTGGTCCACTTAATCTGCTGTTTATGGAAAAATACGATTTATTTCACATCTGGCCTTACACAGGGTTTCAGCTGATGAATCTTGCTGCCATAGCACTCCTTGCTGGGAAATACTGCTCCTCTAGAGGCAAAAAAAAGAGAAAAGAATATGTCCCCCTGCTTAATTACTCCAATATAAAGCCTAATTTTTTACCCTGAACTTCCAGGGGAGTTTGAATTGACTGAAGGTATGGACTTGGGACTCGGAGAAGCCAACATGCATTTTGTTCTCTCTGTCCTACCCCTGGGGAGATGACGTCTTGGAGCAAAGTGGGGCAGAGAGAAGGAAGTTCATTAAAGTGGATTAATTTTGAATTGTATTGGGAAATACAAGAGGAAGGTTCCATGCCTGCCGTGCGGGATGGAGTCGGTATAGAATGAAACTTTGTTCTGAGGGCCTTGCAGGTAACCTGGAGCAAAATAAGACAGGTACTTTAAAAAGTGGGTGATTGTACTTTAAAAAGTAATTATTATAATTTAAAGAGAACAAATTTGTGAAATGTGCAGGTAATTGATTATATATGTATTTTATCACATAGAAATACCAATAGAGTTAGCTAAAAGTTTCTACAATGTCTTGCTAGCATTGAAGATGTATTTTTTTTAGCTGTTAGACTAGATTTTAATTGTATAAACTATACAAGTATTTCACTGAATTTCACTGAATTTTAGAGTTGGAAGGGACCATTGAGATCATCTAGTCCAACTCCCCTGCTGAAGCAGGATTGCCTAGAGTTTGTCAGAGCATGTTACTCAGGAGCATCCAGGCGGGTCTTGAAAATCTCCAAGGAAGGAGACTCCACACCCTCCCTGGGCAGCCTGTTCCAGGGCTCTGTCACCCTCACCGTGAAGAAGTTTCTCCTCATATTTGAGTGGAACCTCTTATGTTCCAACTTGTGCCCGTTGCCCCTCGTCCTCTCACTGGGAACCACTGAAAAGAGTCTGGCTCCCTCCTCCTTCAACCCTCCCTTGAGATACTTGTAGGCGTTGATAAGGTCTCCCCTCAGCCTTCTCTTCTCCAGACTAAAGAGTCCCAGCTCTCTCAGTCTCTCCTCATAAGGGAGATGCTCCAGTCCTTGAATCATCTTTGTTGCCCTTCGCTGGACTCTTTCTAGTAGTTCCCTGTCCCTCTTGAACTGGGGAGCCCAGAACTGGATGCAGTACTCTAGTTGTGGCCTCACCAGTGCAGAGTAGAGGGGGAGAATGACTTCCCTTGACCTGCTGGCCACACTCTTCCCTATGCAACCCAAGATACCATTGGCCTTCCTGGCCACAAGAGCACACTGTTTACTCATTGTCATTTTACTGTCCACCAGGACCCCTAGATCTTTCTCTTCAGTAGTTGCCTCTAGCAGGTCCACCCCTAACCTGTACTGGTACCTGACATTTTTCTTCCCCAGGTGCAGGACCCTACACTTTTCCCTGTTGAACCTCATGAGGTTCTTCTTTGCCCAGCCCTCCAGCCTGTCCAAGTCTCGCTGGATGGCAGCACAGCCCTCTGGGGTGTCAGCCACCCCTCCCAGTTAAAGCTACTTTGAGGATATGAATCCTGATTTCTGTGGTAGGAAAGAGCCACTTGTGCTGGCATCACGCTGGGAGAGGAACAGGAGCGTAAATAGGTGGCTGTGGACCAGAAATGGTAGAGGGCAGAGGCAGCTCAGCTTCTTTTAAGCAGCAACGAGAACCCTACTTGAGTCAGGAGTGCATCTAAATTCTGTGAAGTAGAATTATGTGAATAGAGTAACAGAGGAGAAATAATAGAATAGAAATACGTGAAACTGATGCCAAAAATTATATATGCAAAAAAGTGTTGGATTTCTTGTGTGTCTGTAAATATTAAAAGATTCTTTAAGGCCTAACCTCATCCTTACGCATTTTAATCCGAACTGAAATATGTTGCTTAATTTTCCCCAGTATGTGTTAGAAAATTTTAAAAGTGATGTCACACAAGCATCTAACCTATTTTATTTATTGCAGCCCCGCAGGGTTATCTACATAAATTTTGATTCTTAAATCCAAATTACTGAAAACCTGGCCTCTCTATTTCTTGCCTGTGGCTGTGTGCAGGTGTAATTAAAGTCATTTTGATGTCTCGTTGCCTAATATAATGTACGGGCAACGTTCAGTGGTTTGCTCTGAATAATTTCACTAGTTATCTGTGTGTTTGAGGGTAATAAATAAAGGGTTGGGTTGAAGTCTCATTCAGATCAGGCCTTTAGCCTAGCGATTAACTTCTTGATTTCGTCTAAATGTTGCTGAAAGAACTGGGATAAGCAAGAGCAGACATCCTCCTCCTCCTCTTCCTCCTCCCCCTCTCTACTCTGCCCTGGGGAGGCCCCATCTGGAGCACTGGGTCCAGTTCTGGGCTTCCCAGTTCAAGAAGGACAGGGAGCTGCTGGAGAAGGTACACCAAAGGGCTACAAAGATGATTAGGAGCCTAGAACGTCTCTCTGATGAGGAAAGGCTGGAGAAGACTGAGGGGGGATCTCATCAATGCTTATCAATACTTAAAGGGTAGGTGTCAAGAGGATGGGGCCAGGCTTTTTTCAGTGGTGCCCAGGGACAGGACAAGAGGAAATAGGCACAAACTTGAACATAAGAAGTTCCATCTAAACATGAGGAGGAATTTCTTTGTGGGTGGCAGAGCCCTGGCAGAGGCTGCCCAAAGAGGTGGTGGAGACTCCTTCTCTGGAGACGTTCAAAATCCACCTGGACACGTTCCTCTGCAACCTGCTTTGGGTGGACCTGCTTTGGCAGGGGGTTGGACTAGATGATCTCCAGAGGTCCCTTCCAACCCCATATCATTCTGTGATTCTGTGAGAGGGGAATTTATAACATGCAATCTTGCTTTTCTGAGTTTTAAGAAAATGCTTCACTTTACAGTTTCCCTGGAGCTCCTTGCCAGAACTGGGTAGAGAGAAAGTCCAAGGTCTACCTGTGGTTGAGACTCTCTCTTCAGGCTGAATTTGCTTGCTCTGGTTGCATACATGTCTTGCAGACCCTCTTGTCTAGTCAATCTCAGACTTCAGTGTAATTTTGCTTTTCGGTTTTATTTCTATGACCCTCTTAATGACAAAACTAGGACATTTAGGGTGCTAGTTAACTTCTCCAGCCTGGTTTTGTTTTGGTTTGGTTTGGGGTTTTTTTTGAGCTGAAGCATCTTGATGCAATTTGATGGTGCTAGTTAACTTCTCCAGCCTGGTTTTGGTTTGGTTTGGTTTTTGAGCTGAGGCATCCTGGTGCAATTTGAATTACACTCTGAGCCTGAATACCTATAATGAGAGCACAAAACTGGAGAGGCAATGTAAAAAAGACAGTGCAGAGACAGAAGGTGAAAAAATATCCCTGTAACACCTTTAAATATGCATATTTTTCTTAGCTGTCGGGTTTGTGGTTTGAAGTTTATTTATTAACAGAGCTGTAGCTTCTGAAGCGGGTCGTGGGTTCTGAATCCAAACCTTTACGGTTTAGTAGAGTTCGTTTTCCCCGGGTGAGCTGGTCTTTAGAGGGGTGACCTGGACTCCTGTCTTCAGATTTCTGCTTTGACTCATAACCTCCCTTCTCAGGCTCTGTGTTTCTGTGTTATATATTAAACAGAGATCTTTGCTGAGAGATTTTCTTCTTCGTCGTCTTCTTCGTCGTCTTCATCGTCTTCTTCTACTTCTTATTCTTCTTCTTCTTCTTCTTCTTATTATTATTATTATTATTATTATTATTTTATTTCTGTGGTGTGGATTTAGAAGAAATGGTTTCTGAGAACGCTGAGCTCTGGGGGCTGTTAATGAAATCAGGCCCTTTCTCCTATGTAATTGGTTCAGATTTTGATCTGAGCCGATAACGAACAAACACCCGGCGGCTGCTTGACAGTGAAACAATAACAGCTTGAGGCCTTACACTAGGGAAGCTTTATTTATAGATATTAATAATAAGAAGAAACTAAAGAAAGGGAAATGTAAAGATGAGGAGTAGGAAAACTTTGCTTGCAATGCACAGTGTATTGGGCTGGGGACTGATTTCGGAGGAGGAACGGGGAAAGACTCATCACTGAAGCACCAGAAGATCTACAGGGAGGAACAGTCCTGCTCTGGTAAGATGAGGAGGTGTGAAAAGACAGTTTGAGGTACAGGGGGTAGAAGTATGGAATCTTCCAAGACTTATTTATAAGTTCAGCATTTAATGAAGGACCTCTCATGTTTGGCAGTCTTCAGTGCTGCTGCTCTTTGGATTTAACTCTGTAGTTTGATTCTATAAGTGAAGTGGTTTCAATATTGCAAATACTGGGAATGATTTTCTTTTTTTAGATGTTATGAATGGCATTAAAGATACAACTTCTCACCTTGTGAGTTAGTTAAAAGGGGTGTCTCTATCAGCCTGGAGGAGTGAAGGCTCTGGGGAGACCTTATTGCCCCTTCCAGTATCTGAAGGGGGCTCCAGGAAAGCTGGAGAGGGAATTTTTACGGGGGCATGTAGTGATAGGATGAGGGAAAGAGGGACTTTTTACAGGGGCATGTAGTGAAAGGATGATGGATGATGGCTTCAAACTGGAAGAGAGGAGATTTAGACTAGATCTCAGGAAGAACTTCTTTGCTGTGAGGGTGGTGAGAGCCTGGCCCAGGTTGCCCAGAGAAGCTGTGGCTGCCCCATCCCTGGAGGGGTTCAAGGCCAGGTTGGATGGGGTTTTGAGCAACCTGGTCTGGTGGGAGGTGTCCCTGCCCAAGGTGGGGAGTTGGAACTAGATGATCTTTAAGGTCCCTTCCAACCTGAACCATTCTATGATTAATCTCACCTGATTTTGGATGTCTTTAATACAAATGTCTCTATCTCAACAAGTTGCCCTCCAGTGCTTTGTCTCATGGAGACTGACTCATCCAACCCACTTTAGATCTCTACTTACGATTCAGTTTATTCATACTGTAGCTGTAAGTGTTCCTTTCCATTGACTTGATAAATCCTGGAATACTACCCCCAACTGCTTTTTGGTTCTTCTCTCCCACTGGAGACAACGCTCCCCCACATCTGAACAGGTTTTGTGAACTCACTAAGCACTAATTATGCTATCAGAAGACCTAAATGCACTTCTCCCAAGTTACAGATGATAGGACAAGGGGCAATGGCTTCAAGTTACGCCAGGAGAAGTTCAGGTTGGATATTAGGAAACATTTCTTTACTGGAAGGGTTGTCAGGCATTGGAATGGACTGCCAAGGGAGGTGGTGGAGTCACCATCCCTGGAGGTATTTAAGAAACATGTAGACATGGTTCTTCAGGGCATGCTCTAGTGCCCAAGATTACTGGTTTGTGGTGGGGTGCTGTGTGGGTGGGTGATGGTTTTTTGGTTTGGTGGTTGTTGTTGTGTGTTTAGGTGGTGGGTGGTGGTTTGTGGTTTTTTGTGGGGGGGTTTTTTGGTTTTTTTTTGTGTTGGTTGGACTCGATGATCTCTGAGGTCCCTTCCAACCACTACGATTCTGCGATTCTGTGATTCTGTAATTAGTGCTTTACTTTCTTTTTCTATCATTTCAGGGACCTGGCAGTCAGTCCCGCACCAGGCAGCCCCCATCAACACTTACTGGAACCACCAACCCAAGTTTCTTTGCTCTCAGATGGAAGAAACATCACCCAAGACCAGAGCTTCCCCCCGACTAACCCAGGGAGCCGGTGAGTTCATTTTTCAAGAGAGCAGCTCGTTGATGGGTGGAATGAAGGTTGATGCTGCAATGTGCAAGATCTGAAACCATTTCCCAAGCTGATGCAGATGTCTCATCTGCTACATCAACAGCCTTGTTACACGTGTGTCACTGCAGCATCAAAGAAAGTCTTGTAATTTGTGGGGATGGTTTCGTTCAGACACCATAATTTGTGTTAACAGAAAGGGAATTTCAAGAGCTTTCTATCAAGAGGGTGTTTGAAGGGAAAAAGATGCTGAAAGAAACTTGGTCCAGGTGTAAAAAAACCAGAACTGGAGTGCTAAATACTGTTTTAGACAAGTTGATCAGATATTGCTATCAGAATTATTCCTCATTCTCTCTTTAGAGAATTACCATAGTTACTGCTGAATATCATTTGGGAGGCTCTGGGTGATATCATGGGCTTCAAATTCATATCTCCTCCGTGATTAACAGCAGATCCCATCCAGGGTACTGAGCTCTGTAGTACCTTCACCTGCTCTTACCCTCTCAGCCAGAGCTGCTTCATATCCTGTCCAGCATCTCTGCTCTTTTCTCAAGTCACAGGTGACAGGACAAGAGGAAATGGCCTCAAGTTGCGCCAGGGGAGGTTCAGGCTGGATATTAGGAAAAATTTTTTCACTGAAAGGGTTCTCAGGCATTGGAATGGGCTGCCCAGGGAGGTGGTTGAGGCACCATCCCTGGAGGTGTTCAAAAGACGGGTTGATGTAGTGCTGGGAGGTATGGTTTAGTGATGGTGATGCTTCTTGTTTGTTGTGTGGGTGTCTATTTTTGTCAGAGTTAGGTTGACGGTTGGACAAGATGATCTTTAAGGTCCCTTCCAACCTAGAAGATTCTGTGATTCTGTGAGTGATGAACATCCTCATTTATTGGTACTGCAGCTAAACAGGTTCTGAGATAAGGGAGGGAGACAAATCCTAATGTCATTTAAAGCTTGTAGAGAGGTGAGGATAGAAGAAGATTTGAAGAGGCTACATCTTCAGTGTCTTTTAGGGCTTCAGCTGTGAAGAAGGCTGTATCTTCCTGACTTGCTCTGCAGGTCTACGTTGCCTCACGAGATGACTGTGACTTACTGTAACGGTCTTGTTTCCTAAATACATCTGAGCTCTGGCTGCCAACGTGCCTGTCTGCTGTTGTGGCAGGTGACATTGTGGCAGCATCCTGGATAAAATACAGGTCTACGTTGCCTCACGAGATGACTGTGACTTACTGTAATGGTCTTGTTTCCTAAATACATCTGAGCTCTGGCTGCCAACATGCCTCTCTGCTGTTGTGGCAGGTGACATTGTGGCCTTTCTATGCAGCATCCTGGATAAAATCTTTTTCTTTCCCCTCTTCTGGCCATCTGTTGTAATCTCTTGCCCAGATGGGACACACAGAAGCAGCCGGATGCCGCGCAGGATGACCTACTGAAGCGTAACGCTCCAGATCCCTCATCCACGCTAGGAAATAGGTGTGTGCTCTTTGGAACCTACCACAAAGCTCATCTGAAAGCTGCAGCTTGGAGTGGGCTGGTGTCTGTGTCGTGTGGCTGTTGGTAAACTTGAATTTGATTCTGGGTTCAGTCCAACGTCTGATATCTTTTTCTCGTTCCATCCAACCAAAGTATTTCCTGCCATTTTAAAAATATAATTTACTGAGTATTTTTCATCTAGGTATTTTCACATCTTTTAAAAACCACTGTTAAATAACCTCCTAATAACACATTGAGCAGCTTTTAACATTAAGTCAGACCCATGAGAAACGTTGAACATCTTTGTACGATTGCAATCCCTTCACTTTATTCCTCATCTGTTAAGCAGAATTCTGATCTAAACTTGTTGAAAAAAAAATATCTCAGCCTTCCTTTTATATCCTAGAGAGGCTGCCAGCTCCTTCTATGCGATGCACTACCTGCCACTGTAATTACAAGTAGTTAATTAGCGTGCTGTAAAAAGGTTGAAGCTGTCAGCCTCTGCAGATTCATTTGCCCTGAGTATTTGTGCCCGGGAAGAGTTTGCTGAAGGGGAACAGAGTGAGAATATGAAAAAAAAAAAATGAGTGCATAATAGGTTGCCGAAGGATTATGCATCATCTGTCCTTACCAGGAAGAGGCAAGACCTATAACTCACACGAGTGTGAAGCTGTGATGAGTTGTAAAGGTCTTTACCCTCCGCAGATGGGAATAAATATGTCTTTCCACTCCACCACATTTTGGTGTTTTGACTTCGGCAAGTGTTTTCGTTTAGCGCTGTTAATAACGCGGTGGAAAAACAACTGTGAGGAGAGAAAAAGCAAACTGCTAAATCTGATTCATTTTCTGTGCGTGCCTCCTGGCCTGCAGCAAAACTTGTGTAGAGTCGTGTTGTCAGATCTTTTTGCAAGGGAAATATGGAAAGTTTGGAGGAAATTTGCTTATCGGCGTGACTGATGGAAATGCTGTTGTGTGGATGCGTTTGAAATATCAGTTGGAAACATCCCACATTTCTGAAGTGTTGTACTAAAGCCCCTAGTGATTTTGTTTGAATGTTCAGATGGTTTAATATTGTCTTTTTCTTTCTCTCCAACTTTATGCTTTCAACATTTGGAATGGAAGAAAGAGTAAATTAAAAAAGGCCGTCAAGGGGTAAGCGGATGAATGTGTTGACCTCCAGACACAGCCAATGAAGGAAATTCTGTTTTCCAAGATTAGGGGCTGCAGTTTAATCTGATATCACACTGGGCAACATCATGTCCAGGTTTCTTTTTTTTTTTTTTTGCATTATTTCTCAAATCTGGCTGTTTTTATTTAAGCTTGAGCTGTGGTGGAAATATTGTGATTCTTTAGGTCACTAACACTTGTTGGATTCAAGCCCTGCAGTTGTTTGGTTACTTCTGCTCTACAAGTAAAACCAGATGATCCCAATTGCATTTACTCAAGAGTGAAAATTAAAAGTTTGGTTTGGGCATCTGGACAGGCTGGAGAATTGGGCAGAGAGGAACCTGATGAAATTCAACAAGGGCAAGTGTAGGGTGCTGCACCTGGGGAAGAATAACCCCCTGCACCAAGACAGGTTGGGGGCTGACCTGCTGGAGAGCAGCTCTGAGGAGAAAGACCTGGGAGTCCTGGTGGACAACAGGATGACCATGAGCCAGCAATGGGCCCTTGTGGCCAAGAAGGCCAATGGCATCCTGGGGGGCATCAGTAAGAGTGTGATCAGCAGGTGGAGGGAGGTCATCCTCCCCATCTGCTCTGCCTTGGTGAGGCCCCATCTGGAGCACTGGGTCCAGTTCCACAGGGAACTGGGAACTGCTGGAGAAGGTACAGCAAAGGGCTATAAAGTTGATTAGGAGCCTAGAACATCTCTCTGCTGAGGAAAGGCTGAGGGACTTGGGTCTTTTCAGTCTGGAGAATTCTGAGGGGGGATCTCATCAATGCTTATCAATACTTAAAGGGTGGGTGTCAAGAGGATGGGGCCAGTCTTTTTTTAGTGGTGCCCAGCAACAGGACATGAGGAAACGAGCACAAACTTGAATGCAAGAAGTTCCATCTCGACATGAGGAGGAACTTCTTTACTTTGGGAGTGGCAGAGCCCTGGAAGAGGCTGCCCAGGGAGGTGGTGGAGTCTCCTTCTCTGGAGACATTCAAACCTGCCTGGACAAGTTCCTGTGGGATCGGCTCTGGGTGGACCTGCTTTGGCAGGGGGTTGGACTAGATGATCTCCAGAGGTCCCTTCCAACCCCATATCATTCTGTGATTCTGTCTGCAGTTTTCAGCAGGACAGTTTCTAATAACACCCACAGCTTCTTTTCATTGCTGAGACCATGGTGACGGTCTTCTCCTGGGAAGTAACCTGTGATGTTCTGAGCTTTCCCGATTTCATGAAACAAAACATCCTCCCAGTTTCCAGGGATTTCTTTCATGTTCTCTGCTGGAGGCTGAACTCTCCCACACATTCAAAGTGTGGATTTCTTTTTTTTTTTTTCCTGAAGGTTCCATTTGTTTTCACTCATAGACTTAAACAATTTATCATTGCCTGTGGTGAGTGGTGGTCCTTCAGGGCAGTGTATCATACAACTGTACTTTAAAGGACTGCAACTCACCACAGGCAGTGATAAATTCTTTAGGTCCCTGTCTGCTGTATTTCATCCCTCATTTATACCTGTGAGGAGTTAGTAAGGATACTGAAAAGATCTGGTTGCAGCAGAAGAAGGAGATGAGAGGAGAGGAGTGGCAAAATACAGGGAGTTGGAGAGCAGAAATTTAACTTCTTAATCAGTTGCTATACCTTAATCTCTGGTGAGATTAAGATCTCATCTCTGGCTCTGGTGAGACCCCACATGGAGCACTACATCCAGCTCTAGGGTCCTCAGCACAGGATGGACATGGACCTCTTGGAGTGGGGCCAGAGGAGGCCACGGAGATGCTGGGAGGGCTGGAGCCCCTCTGCTGGGAGGGGGGGCTGAGAGAGTTGGGGGGGTTCAGCCTGGAGAAGAGAAGGCTCCAGGGAGACCTTAGAGCCCCTTCTAGTCCCTCAAGGGGCTCCAGGAGAGATGGGGAGGGACTCTTGATCAGGGAGGGGAGCCATAGCATGAGGGGGGGCAGTTTTAAGCTGAGAGAAGGGAGATTTTGATTAGGTATTAGGAAGAAATTCTTCCCTGTGAGGGTGGTGAGAGCCTGGCCCAGGTTGCCCAGAGAAGCTGTGGCTGCCCCATCCCTGGAGGGGTTCAAGGCCAGGTTGGATGGGGCTTGGAGCAACGTGGTCTGGTGGGAGGTGTCCCTGCCCAGGGCAGGGGGGGTGGAACTGGATGATCTTTCCATCCCTGGTCCCTTCCATCTCTAACCATTCCATGATTCTGTGATTATTTGCAAGTCTGAGAGTGGAGTCAGAACCTCACCTCCCATTGACAGGAACCGTCTCGAATATTTAGTTGCACATCCCCATTCCTGCCAAACACAAGCAAATTGGAAAATATCCATCTGTTGAAATAAGATGACATCATGTGCAATCA